CTGAGATGCAGGAGCTGGGTTCAGTGGCTACGCTGGAGTTGGTATAGAAGCAGAGAGCAACACGCGTGCCCGATAACACGGAACCGCTTGTTACTAGTAGGGGCCTGTCCTGTACTAGACCCTCAGAGAAACTGCGTTTCATCCCCCTAGTCATCCTGAAAGAATCGTTCGTGAGATGGGTACGTGGGATTCAGAGAAGGTGAGCGGCTTGCGGGCTGCCAGACCATTCTGCTGCCTTTCCCTATAGACTGTTGCCAGGGGTGCCCCCAGGGGGGCAGAGGTTTTTCTCCCCTTCAAGCTCTCTGCAGTCACCAAGCACCTACTGCGACCAGGCTTCGGGCACAGCAGGGAACAGGTAGCTGTGGGATTCTCCAGATGTTCACACCAGCGCCTCTGGGCAGCACATATTAGAGGTTCTAGACGTGGGAGTCTCTCCCTGTCTGGCAAGCTGTCTAAGCATGAAGCTTCCTGTGAGTTACTATCCAAAAACATCCTGCCAAACACATTCCCAAACCATGTTCCTGGACTGGGCTTTCGTTCCACCTGTCTGGCTCCCCGGTCCCGGAGAACCAGGTGGCATGCTCAGAGAAGCTGTGCCTTCTGCATCGAGCACAGAGCTCCCCAAGAAGCCGGGTGCGCCCAGCACTGCAGCCTCTATGCCCCTCGCTGCCTGGGTGACCGCAGGCTCAGCACCTCTCAGGTGTCCAAGTGCAACTGCCCGGCACGGGCTGGCCAGCATCCTCCCTGTCGCCCTGTGGGGCTGAGCCGGGGGTGTTTCCCTTCCTCCGCAGCGCGGTCTTGACCTTATAAATCAGTGGCTCATAAATGCCCTCCGTAAGACCAGGGCCAGGTCGGCTGAGGAGCACAGGGATTTTCCAGGCCCACCCCTTGGGATTCTGATGCCATAGACCTGGGATGGGGCAGGCCACCTGCTATTAACCCACGACAACCCCGTTCCTGATATGCAGTCTTCAAACAACCCATCAGGCTGATCAGTGTTTCCCAAACTTCAGCCTTAGCTGGCCACCCCTCGGACGGTACTTGTACAAGTTACTTGGAGTTCATTCTGTTTTTGCATCCAGCTTTGCCCTAAGCCAGTGGTTCTAACGTCCCTGGAAGAGTGTTGTATAAAATTCCCAAGCCAGGCCCCTCCCTGGGCTGGAGCACTTTAAAGGCTCCCTGGACAATTTGAAGGCGTGGCCACGGGTGAGGACCACAGCCTTAAGCAACCATGTGCCTGAAATTGAACAGACAGCAAAACAGATCCATAAAAACGAACCTGAGTGCGCTCATTCACAAACAGCCCAAAGCGTCCTAGGCTCCAGGCCTTGAGGACCCCTGGGCGGGACGGGAAGCCCTCCCCTCAGACCCACAGCGAGAAAAAGACGGACCTTCCCTCCCTGAGGCCCCCAGGCCCCCAGAGGCTGATTGTTCTAGAAATAGGAAGTGACTCACAGAGAATTCAACTCCAGCTACTCTGCCCCACGTCAGGGGCAGAGAGGTGGGTGGCCCTCCTTCCGGAGGGGCTGGCTTGAGGGGTGACAGGACACTGTATGTGCACCAGCTTGTGACACCTGCTGAGAAGTTTCTGGCGGACTGGGGTCCGGATCCAGGTGAGCGCATCCCTCCGCCAGCAGGCTGGTCCCACCGTGCTCACCCCTGACGTTGACTCCTGCTTCCTTCTCGGGTCAGGAAAGGGGTGTGGGGTTACTGCTACCACAGAAGCCCAGCTTCCATCGCCCTCCTGCCGCTGGGACTCGGCAGCATCCCGCTGTCTGCGCTCCCGGCTGCCCCGCGCCCTCGTTCCCAGCCAAGCCTGACGCCGGGAAGCTGTGCCCGGCTTGCAACAGGCCGTTCACGGACCTTCAAACGAGCTTCGGATCTCCTGACCCGCCAAGAGCTATCGGGACGCACTGATTCTCCAGAGCGAGCGGAGGCCTCTCTGCTCGGGGTCCACAGGCGGACTCCCCGGGGGTTCCAGGGCACCCTCTGGATGGCACGGCAGGGCACCGGCAGGTGCCTCAGACATCGAACAACTGCCCTCGACTAGGTGTTTCGGTCCAGTTACGGAAACTCCAGAAAGTGACGTAAGGGGGCATGGGAGGCAGTATCAGCAGACTCTCACCTGCACTGAGGACAGGTGTGACCTGACGTCCGTGGATGTGGGCTGGGGGTGCCCAGGTGCGGGAGCGAAAGGGCCGAGGTGGGAAGGGGCTTGCGTGTGAGGGGGGAGACACCACTGTGGCTGAAGCCTGCCCCAGTGGGGCCGGGCACAAGGCTCGGGATGTGGGGTAGAGCCATGGGAAGACAGTAGGGTGCATGTAAATTTGGACAGGGGTCGAGGGGACGATGCGGTCGGCTCTTTACCGAGGCCTCTTGGGCAGCGCGTGGAGCTGGGTTCTTAGCGTCGGGGGAGATGGAGGAAGCTGCCGTCACCGGTGAGCCGTCCTGCCTCAGACCCCGCTGGAGAGGCCGCCGTGCAATCTCCCCCCCTCCCCAGGAAGTCCCCGAGGACAGGCAGTGTGGTGCAGTGGATAGCGCGGGCTTTGGCTTCAGAGACACACAGAGCAGGGGTCGGATCCTGACGAGCTCTCTGTGACCCTGGTCAAGCTGCGAGACCATGCTGAGCCACGATTTCTTTCTGGGAAAGGGAGCTCGGACTCTCCCTTTACAGGTAGAGAGCCACAATGAAGTAGGTGCGTGTAGAGTCAGGCACTTTGGGGTGCCCCGTTAGACTCCCCGTCCTCTCTAGGCACCAAACAGCCTCTGCTTGTCCCCCTCGGGTTCCTCTTTTCGTCCTGTGCCGTGAAAATCAGTCCTGCTCTTAGTGGCTCATTGTAACGGACGAGCCTGTTATCCTGGGTGGCGTTGCTGCGAAGAGCTAAGACTGTCCTGCACCGGAAGCTGGGTGCTTTGTCACATCCTCGCACCATCCCCCAGCCCTGCTGTTCCAAAACCAGCCTGGCCCAGCCCCGGACTGCGCCCCTCCTCCCTCCGTCCCGCTGCTCCGAACGCCCTCATCGCTCAGAACGCCACCTGAGCCGCCCCTTTTCCAAGAAACCCCTCCGATCTGCCCAGAAATCTTCTGGATGGAGTACCCTGCTTTATACATGAAGAAGCTAAGCGTGAGCCCTCGGTTGCTGTGCAGGCCCCTTCGCCTGCTTTTACCCCCTGCTCCGTGTTCGGGCCCAGCCGACAGCAGCGCTGGCGGGCATTGCGGAGGCCCGCGGCTGCCAGCAGGGGTGGTGTGCCAGCACCCCCGGCCCTGGGCTGGGCTCTTTCCGCTGTGGCCCCGAGATGCCGGGTCTCGGAGCCCTCAGGCCTCAGGCACCACCTCCCTCCGGTGACTCAACTGAGGCAGACTGAGCTCTGCTTCCCAGGGCTGGGCCGCCCCCGCCCTGCCGCCCCGACCCGGCCTGCTCAGCCCACCCTCCTGGGAACCTGAGCTGTCAGGAGCACGTGGGCCAGCGCAGGCGACTCAGCCCCCTCCTCCTGGAGGCCTGGCCCGCGCCATGACTGCATCTGTCTGAACGTCAGCACCCGCGTCTGTGAAATGGGAGTACAAGCAGTAACCCCGCTCGCGGCCGCTGGGAGGGACCCGGGACCCTCGGGGAGGCTCGGCTGCGTGACCACCTGTCCACAGGGACGAGGCCGTGGATCGACGTGAACTGTTGCTGTTAGACCAGGCCTCACGATTAAACCCGTCCTCTCCACGCTCACCATTTGGGTAATAAAGAGAAAGAAAAATACAGCTGCGAGTATAGAGACCAGCGGTAGCAGAGTCCGAGCGCTTCCTGACACCTGAGCTGCGGCTTCCCCACTGGTAAGGCTGCAGCTCCTAAGTCGCACTTGGTGTCAAGATTAAAAGGGGTGAAGGCGCCCTGGCTGGTTTGGCTCAGCGGTTAGAGCATCGGCCTGCGGTCCAGAGAGACCCGGGTTCGGTTCCCGCTAAGGGCATGTACCTCGGTTGCAGTTTGTCCCCGGCCCTGGTTGGTCGTGCGAGTGGCAGCCACTCGATGTGTCCCTTTCACGTCGATGTTTCTCTCTCTCTATCTCTTCCTCTCTCTCCCTCCCACTCTATCTGTACAAAAAATGGAAAAATGTCCTCAGGTGAGGATAAAAATAAATAAATAAATAAAAAGGGGGCGAAGGCGCCTCTCCTGCAAGTTCTCGTCACAAGGAAACACCCTGGTGTGGTGAGGCGGTGGATGCTGACTGATCATCGCGTGACCCTCCCGCAATGTATCCGTCCACAGCCAGTCGTGATGTTGCACGTCTGATACAATGTCTGTCAATGACCTCTCGCCTGCAAACTTGAGGGTGTTTATGGAGGCCCCCTACTCGCCCAGGGGCCTGCCACAGTGCCGGCACCACGGAAGCGCTCAGCATACGCTGGTTGAATGAACGCACGGCAGAGAGAGCGGAGAAAGGAAGATAATGAAAAGGGACAGGAGCCAGCCCCTTATGGCATGGACTGCTGTCACCGCGAGGCCAGGTGACAGCTCTTTCAAGGAAACAGGAAGTGCTGAGAACGCGGAGGAAGGACCATGAGATCCGGAGCCATGGCTAAGGAGGGTTCCGTCGGGAAAGCTGTGCTGCTGGGACAGGACCAGCCTCAAGGAAGGAGCATCGTCCTCATCTGGGAAGGTGGGAAAAAACAGCGTGGTATCTACTGAGGTGCCTGCTCAGCACCTCTTCCTCCTCCTTTCGGAAGAGAGAATAACTACACAAACACCCCCTCCGCCCTGCCTGACCCGAGTGCCAGCATGCTGGGGGGCGGGGAGGGAGAGAGAATGAAAACATCACCCCCCTCTCACGGAGTAAAAGTCAGTAATCGGCCCTGGCTGGTTTGGCTCAGCAGTTAGAGCCCCAGCTTGAGGACTGGAGAGTCCGGGATTCGATTCCTGGTCAAGGACACATGGCTGGGTTGCAGGTTCGATCCCCGGGCTTGGCTGGGGTTGTGCGGGAGGCAACCAGTCGATGTGTCTCCCTCACATCGCTGTTTCTCCCTCCCTTCCACTCTATCTAAAAATCAATGGAAAAATATCCTTGGGTGAGGATTAACAAACAAAAAAAAATCAATAATCAAATGAATTACTTCCTGTGTCACCGTTTGGCCCTACATACATTAAACTGATAACAACAGATACTACACTTGATCTTAGCCAAAAGGCCGAGAGGCGATGGCCCTACACATATATATATATAACCCACATCCTCTGAAAAGCAGCCCGTGGTGCCCTGCGGCCACTTTCCCACTTTGTTTTCCTCCCCAGACTGTCATCACCACCTGCCAGCCCCTGGTGTGTGCCTGTGGCAGGTTTTCAGGGAGGAGGCCGGGGGCCAGCCGCAGCCGGCCGAGCAGCAGCGGGGTGCTCTGGCGCTGGGATTCCTGCCCAGGAGGGCAGCCAAGGAGCCATGCCATCCAAACCCAAGGCGAGAGGACGCACGGACGCACCCAAGGTGCGAGGACGTACGGACGCACGGACGCACGGACAGCTGTGACATTTTACATCAGTGTGCCACCCAGGATGCGGACGGTGTCCTCGCATCAAGCGCCAGCCTCCGGGGGTGAGCTGAGGCTCCCGAGCTCTGTCCTTAGGCAGGAAGTGGTGCTCGGCCCCCAGCCAGGAGCAAACACTCCCTCCCACAGCACGAGAAAGAGGGGCTGCTTGAGAAGGGGCCGACGCGGTTTCCGTGCAGGGCTTTCTGGACAGGGGTTTCAGCTTTGCTGGCCGTACACTGCCACCTGAACTCTGCCACTGGAGCGAGAGGCAGCCAGACCATAGGTGTGAGGATGAGGGGGACTGTGTCACAGTAAAACTTCATTTGCAGAGATAGGCCGGGGGCCGACGTGGCCCACCACCGACTTCTCTGCCCTCTGGTCCAGTGATCCTGTGGGCTCACCAAGTCTCCGGCCTATGCTGGGCGCACAGACGGCATGGGCTGCGCCTCGGAACAGCTCTCAGGGGTGCTTTCCTAGGACCCTGCCCCCACGATGCCAGTGCCCCTCACGCTGAGCAGCGCCCCTCACGCCCGCGCCCTCCTGCGACCAGGGCTTTGGGGAAGGATGGCTGGCGAGCGGCGGAGCGAGTGGACGGATGACCGTCCACCAGTGCTAGCCAGCCGAGGGCACCAGAGGAGACTGGACGCACGCCAAGTCTGTTCCCACGAAACCCGGAGTTTCTCACCGAGACACGTCCTCCTCCTCTACCTCTGTCTCTTTGAATAACACCACCTGCTGCTCAAGCCAGGGGACAGCTAGCTAAGCTGTCGTCCTCCTGGGTCCCCTCCTCCAGGCGATGCCAGCTCAGGTGTCCACCTCGCCATCGCCGCTGCCGTTGTCCTGGCCAGGCCCTCGTCCTGTCCCGCCTGGACATCAGCCTTCTGAGTGGTTTCCCCGCCTCTCTCCACCTTCCAACCCAAGTCCCTGCCGTGTCCGCAGGGCCGCCTTTCTCCAGGGCAAACGGCAGCATCACCTGTCGGCTCAAAAGCCTTCGATGGCTCTCAGCTGCTTCTGGACTAAGCCTCCCGCACTGTGCCAGCAGCTCCAGTACCTTGTCTCGTCCTCCACGCCCCAGGCCTCACCCCGCCACACACAGCCCTGCCCTGCCCTGCCCCCACCTCACTTCTGGGGTGCGCCCTGCAGACAGCCTGCTCCAGGCACAGAACATTGTCCTTCCTCACCCATGTCTCCCTTTGTGTGTGTGGGTGTCCCCCGCGGGTACAGGGGTGCCCCGCGTGCACTCTTCACCTGACCAATCCCCACCCAGCTTTAGGATTTGCCCCATCCACATTTTCCCACGCAGCCTGCAGGGGGCAGTCTCGGGCAGAGCTCACTTGCCCCTCTGGAGCCCGGAATGCTCAATTCCAGCGCTTGGGGCCAGGCACCTCGAGGAACCCAGCCGACCAGCTTCCCGTTGGGAGAACTAATATTGGTCAGGATTTAATGGTGATTGTTAGCGTGAGTCTTCAAAGTTAACCCTGCAGGAAGCCCGTCAGAACCACATGCCACGTGGGGAAACAGAAAGGAAGGCCATGACTCGCGCTGCCGTTAAGTAAGGGCTCCCAGGACGCTTGCTCAACCCCCAGGGAGAAAAGCCATCTCCCAGCCCCTGTCATCTCATCTGCTCCTGAGATAGACCCCAGGCCATTCCCTGTTGGGGACGAGCAAACAGGACTCAGAGAAGCCAGGGGTCACACAGCCGGAATGGGCACTGGTGGCCCTCAGTCGCCCACACCGAGCCGCCGGCAGAGACGAGAGGTAGTGGCTATGCTCGCTCCCTGGGAGGGGTTGCACTGTCAGGAGCCATCTGAAGCAAAAAGCTTCGTGATGTCCAGTGGCTGCTGGCCTCGCCACGGACAAATCTCAGTTCATGCTGTCCCTTCCGGTGGCAAAGCTGACTTCAGCCGTCCTGTGTTAGTGGCTGGAGCGGGAGTGAGATGAAGCCCCTTCTTCAGGCACCAAGTCAAATCTTGGCTCCGTGGCCTCGAGGACCCCGTTTTTCAAGCCAGACACTTGCGCTGGAGCATCGGCATGGGCCAGATGCCCCCTCTGGGGTGCCAGCTCTCAGAATGTCCGCTTCCCACAGTGGCCATTGCTCATTGACTTCCCTACCCCAAGCAAACACCAACAAGCCCGATGCTGCCAGCACCCCTATTTGGTGACATGCCTGCTAGAGTTTTTTATTAGACCTGCAAACCAGGTAACCGTTCCAAATAACAGGTTTTCCCTTTGCTTGGCTGCCAAGGAAGCCAAACGAGAAGGGCAGAAAGGCAGAGCCCCGGCCAGGGCAGGCTGATGGGAGAGGGAGGCAGCCCAGAGCACGGTGGAGTTTGCAGATGTCCGAAGAATTGTAATGAAAACTACTAGCGATTGGCTGTCGCCAATGAATCTGCAAACAGCAAGCGCTGGCGAGGACGTGGAGAAAGGGAGCCCTCGTGCACCGCTGGTGGGAATGCAGACTGGTGCAGCCACTGTGGAAAGCAGTGTGGAGTTTCCTCAGAAAATTACAGATAGAACTGCCCTATGACCCAGCGATTCCACTTCTGGGGATTTATCTGAAGAAACACAAAACACTAATTCGAACGAATACATGCACCCCTATGTTCACTGCAGCGTTATTTACAACAGCCAAGATCTGGAAGCAGCCCAGGTGTCCCTCAGCAGAGAGGATAAAGCAGTTGTGGTACATGTACACAATGGAGTACGACGCAGCCATAAAGAAGAACGAAATCTTACCCTCTGGGACGGCATGGAGAGACCTAGAGGGTATCAAGTGAAATAAGCCAGTCGGAGAAAGACGAGTACCCTATGATTTCCCACAGGACAAAATAAACAAACAAACGAAATTGAAACACACTCCTAGACACAGAGAGTGAACTGGTAGTTGACAGATGGAGGGGGTCGGGGCACTGGGGGAAAAGCGAAGGGGTTCAGAGGACAAATTGGGAGCTACGAAATAGCCCTAGGGATGTAATGCAGTACAGGGAATGTAGTCAGGAAAGTTGTGATAACTGTGTATGGTGCCAGGTGGGTACTGGAAATCCAGGGGGAGGGATCACTTTGTAAAGTGTATGATTGTCTAACCGCTAAGCTGTACACTTGAAACCAATACAAAATAAAACCGAAAGAAAAACTATTAACGACATGGCCGTTGCTTTCAGGCCAAGAACAGAGTCCCCCTTCACAAGTACCCGCAGGGAGACGTCTGACTCGTGACCAGCACTGTGGATGTTGGGGGGGCGTCCACTTCCAGTGGGTGATTGCAAAGCGACATTAAAGTCAGGAAGGAAGCACGGCAAAGCCTTTCCCAGCGGTTTCAGGATCGCATCGTTGATTTTGTGCCTACTTTCCTACATTTTTCAATGGTTCTAATGGCGACAGCACATTATATTAAAGTGAAATATTAAACTCCTCTAAAATACAGTGTTGGCAGTGATGTGCATCTTTCAGATCGCCCCCCGAGCCTATCGAAGTGGCTTGCGCTGTTCGCGCGACAGCCGCCGGAGGCCTTGCGGAGAGACTGATACGATATCGCGTGTTAATATGTACGTTTAAAATGTGCGTATTTAATTAAGTACGTTTACTACTAAACGACTAATAATTTTACCTATTTTCAAAAATGGACACCCCTTTTTGTGAGATTGTTACATAAGACAAACTCCACCTCCGTCTTGGGCGGGTCACGCTGTCCAGGTGGGGACGGTGAATGGAGCCCGTGTCAGCACCAGGTGTGTTTCCTGTCCCTGCAAGCGTGCTGGCTCCTAGAACGGTGCTTACTTAATGGCTCAGACCTTGGCTTCCATAATCATTTGTCCTTTGAACTATCTCAAATGGGACAATGGTGCTTAGGGAGCACTCTGGATAGGGCAAATGGTGGTTCAGGTTGCCCCACCTTGAACTGGCCTCATGACCCCCACCTGAGTCACCTGCATTCCCAATGCCAGCAAGAGACTCGTCCGGGGAGGGCGCGGTAATCGCCACACCTTTCTCCTCTAACAGGATCTTTTCAGGTATCATTTTATAAAATTCTCAGAGCAACGTGGTGAGCTATGGAGGTCAGGGTTAACGCTTTTATGAGTTGAATTGTGTCCCCCTAGAAAGAGGCGCTGAAGTCCTAATCCCAGGTACCTGTGAATGCAGCCTCACTTAGAAATAAGGTCTTTATATATGTAATTAAGTTAGGATGAGGCCATTAGGGTGGGCTCCAACCCAGTATGACAGGTGTCCCTGTCATAGGAGAGATGGCCACACACAGGGAGAAGGTTGTGATGACAGGGGCAGAGATTGGGGTGACGCAGCCGTAAGCCAATGGATGCCAAGGGTCTGTGGGCACCACCGGAGGCTGAAGAGGCAGAAAGCATCCTCCCCAGGGTCTCTATCCAGAGGGAGCACAACCCTGCCGGCAACTTGATCTCGGACTCCAGCCTGCAGGACGGGGGGAGAGTACGTTTCCGTTGTGTGTGGTGTTTGTTATGGCAGCCCCAGGACACCCATCCGCTCATTCGGGGCCCCCGCCCTATGACCTGTTTAACCTTAGTCAATTTCATAAAGGCCCTAATTCCAAATATAGTCACACTGGGCACTATATATATATTTGGGGGGACGCAAAGATTCATTCGATAGCACCAACTAGAAAAGGAGGAAAGTACTCTGAGCTGGGTTCATGGATCCAGCAGCTT